TATTTTAATTATTTTTTTCAGTCGAAGATATGATCAAAGAGGTCGATGTCGATGGTGATGGGCGAATAGATTTCTATGGTAAGAATAAAATTATTATATGAAAAATTCAGCACTTTACAAGAAATGATGTATCCTTTATAACTTTCTAAATAAAATGCATCAATAACTATTTTTTCTAGAATTTGTGAATGCCCTGGGTGAGCCTGAAATGAGTGAATCTCAAGAAGATGAAGAATTTGACGAAGAAATGTACAGTGAGCAAAATTCACCTCTGCCAGCCACGACCATAGCCACTACATGAATAACATCCGAATCGTAATGAATATTATTAATAACGGTTTTATTGCTTTGTTTATTTTACTTCGGTACATCTGTTGATATTTGGCAACAAGCCATTGAGTTACACGACTCAAAACTAATAATACTAAGATTTTATTTAGTTTTTAATTTATCAAGTAAAAGTATGCAAAAAATGCTGTAAATTTACATATCTGGAATAATTACATGCAAAACTATGCTGCTATATGGAAATGTAATACATTGACATTTTTTGGAAGGTAAGAAGAGTTGAGATGTTGAGGATGGATTTCAATTCAATATAAAAAAGTGAGTTAATAAAACAACGACAGAAACGTTCTTCTAAAAAATTCTAGTTTCATTTAAAATATCACATCTCGGTACCAGTTTTAATGCGATAAGAATCATTTCTAAAGTGACTTGATGATCACAGACCAGAACCACATTTAATTACCTTAATAGCATACGAATCAAACGAAGATTACCAATAACTTATTCAGTTATACTGATTATATTTACAGGTGTGCATGACTGTAATTTACTGTAGACAATTACGTAAATATAACTAACTAGGTAACTAGCCCTACAAGACAAGTTACAGAGCGGCAATCTGAAATCCACATAGATTCCATATGGATGTCACAGCGCTGAAGGCACTCTTGTGGATTTCAGATTGTTAATGACGCTCAAATCACACGGTATTTACTGGAGGTAAATTAAGAAGTAGAAGGGAAAGGCTTATAGCAATGAATAATCTGAACCAAATCGTATTTTTCTTCCATCGCACATAAATTCCACATGGATGTCACAGCGCTGAAGGCACGCTTGTGGATTTCAGATTGCTACCGCCGCTCAAATTGCACGGTATTTTCTGGGTACTTCTTCATTAGGAAGTAGAAGAAATAAGCTTATAATCATGAATAATCTGACCTTTGGTAGAATCGTATTTTTCTTCCATGGCACAACACAGACTATGATGCCCTGTGAAGTTCCTTTACCTCTTCAGAGGGCAGTAAGATTCTTAATGACTTCTTTACTCAGACCTTGTACTACAGGAATCCTATTGTAGATGAGTGGGTATATTGAACCAATGAATTAAAAGTTACTCCGCATTTTGGCATCAATATCTACTGACTTATATCAAAGGCACTCACCTGATATTAGTAATGTATCCCCTATAATCCAATTAAATAGTACACTGTCAATTTCACCATCCTTGGAATACGATTCGATTCTTTGAAAAGGAATTGAAAGACCAATGTTTATAAATGTATTAAAATATTTCATAAAATCTCCTTAAATACATATACAACCTCAAGATGATGATGATGTTCCAGAACTCGTACTTTCATGTAGCAGCATTTCTCCTCAGTTGCTGCACTTTGGTTTCCGATTTCATCCTTGATCAGAAAAGGAATCGAACGACCAATGTTTTGGAACCTATAAGCATTATACATGCATTAAAATGTTTTACAAGATCACCTTAAATACATATACAACCTCAAAATGACGATTCCAGAAGTTCCAGAACTCGTACTTTCATGTAGCAGCATTTTTCCTCCGTTACTTTTCTTTTGGTTTATTCGGATTTTTTTTTTTAAATTCAGACTTTATAGAATTCGGGTACAAATATTAGATCAGTACCATCATCAAATAAATTTCTTCGAAATTGTTTCATACTGTGGACATGCAGGCCTAACAGCATGGCTGACTGAAAGTAGAAAAAATATTATAAAGTTTTATATTGTATAAATTTGGAATAATTATTAATTACAAAAATATCAAGCTTTTAAATATAATAAAGTATAGGAAAATAGCCTAAATTATCATATCAGATGCACTAACCAGACATAAAATTTTATTCATATGTGTTATTTAATGTTTACTATATGAAGGGGTTAGTCATAAATTACATCAATTGTAAGTGATCAGGATTATCATGGTAATTAATACATAATTTATGGATAATCTCCTGTAATATAGATGATTAGAAATTATATTAAAAATAAATTTGATATATAAACAGGTTGTTGAAATTTTACTAAATTTATTTTGCACCTGACGAATATGCCACACACAATGCAAATTAGTCACTTTTTCAACTTTTATTAAATAATGGATACTATCAGTTTGAATTTATAAGAAATATACATTATAAAATACTAACAGAAACTTAGTAAAAATTCTATAACTGTTAGTTCTCGATCCAATATTGCATTTATTAATGATTATAAATCGATCTATTAATATATAAATTAGGGAAGAAACGATACATGTTTAACAAATGTCTTTTGTAAGGGTAATCTGAGGCAAAATTTTCTCGAATATTCTATGGAAAAACTTTACTTTTAATCCTGGATAAAAATAAAAAGTAATCGACTTTTCAATTAGTATAATTCCGACAATCTCTAGCACAATTTAAACCTATTATATCTTGGTAATATGCACCATTTACATAATTATTTAATTGAGTAAATTTTATAATTATAGATCTAATTACTATATAGATGTGTACTTTATATGAAAATATGTATAATTTAAAATTTTACTTATTATGTAACAATTAAGCAAAGAACATGCAATTTAAAAAAAATGAAAAAAATCTAATTCTACTTTTTCAAATCGTAATTGGGGTACTTGGTTAAAAATTAAAATTTCACCAAAATAATTTTAAAATTTATTGTTATTAATTAACTTTTAACAAAACACTGCTGGTGTAATGTATTTCAGAGATAAACTGTTTCAATTGTTGTTATAATATGAATACTATTAAAATATTGAATACAATATATTAAGCAAAATTTTGGAATACTATTAAAATATTAAATGTTGATAACAAATTTGAAAAAAATACTGCTTTTGAATTTAATAACATGCTGGCACGATTGTATGGAGTATTACAATAAATAAATAAATAAATAAATAGATATATGTATATATATAAACAAATTTTAATTATTTTTTACCATATTGTTTTACGAAAACGATTTCCAAGAATATTTAACGACTTCTAATATTAATATTTAACGTTATCTTCTTTAAAACGAACTTATATTTGTGGTGCTTAATATTAATTTTGGATTTATGTATTTTTGGATAGACCTAGAGGAATGAAACAATTAAAATTTCTAAAACATTTTAAAATAAACAAAATCTACAACACGTGTATTTAAATAATAACGCATAATCTAATATCTTTCATTTTTTGTAATACTCGATACAATTTTTCAACTTTAACTCATTGTCATAAAATCTGAATGTTGTCAATAAAAATATAAATAAAAATTCTCATATCATGTGTAACTTCTTATGTATCTCGGGTCCATAAATAAATATAAATATTATATGAACAACACAAATATGCTTATTTATTTATTAATATTATTATTAACTTCCCGTAGGATAAGTTATAGTAATCGAAAATTAAATTTTTTGTATATCTTTGCGTTTCAAAGCTTTTTGATTATTTTGGCATACTTTACAAATATGTGTGTGTAGTATATATGTATGTATGTGCGGATACAAATTTTCATCGACAATTTTGGGAACACGATTTAACCGATTTCAATGATTCAAAAAACATTCGATGCCTATTGATGGGAAGACGAGCTAGTTTTTGGTTGAGGCAGTTCCAACCGTTTAGAAGATACAGGGCAAAAAGTGCAAAAAATAGCTTAGTTTTTGAGAGAACGGAGCGCCCGAATTGAAATTTAAAAAGCATTTTACTTGTATTTACGGACTGAAAAATTTACTAAATTTTTAGAAAGGTAGTTCCAAAAAAACGAAACGTCTCTAAAACAGCTACGCAGCCAGTTCGCTTTGAAAAAACTCAAAAATTTCAAAAACAAAGCTAAATAACGGTAGGGAAAGTTCCAGCAATTTGCTTTAAGCTGCGATGCCATGCACCACCAATTTGTTATATATTTTTTGCTAAACTCTGGAAAAAAATGTAAAAAAAATAGTATTTTTTTGTATATTTTATTATAAAAACATTATAACATACCAGTGCATATAAAACAAAACATTTTGTCCAAAAACTATACGTTTCCAAGTGCATACAAAGTTTTGATAACAGCTAAAATAAAAATTAAAATAAAGCAAAAATTTAACAAAAAAAATAAAGCCGAATATTCTTTTAACGTATCTGTCATGGTTTCATTGCTTTTTTATGTTGTTTTTCTCTTTGAATAATATTTTATCGATAAATCAGGTAAATCAATAAATCTTTTCGTATGTCAGCTACTAAGAAAATAAAAACTAAAAAGTGAGGTAAGTTTACGTTTAATTTCTTTGTTTTTTTTTTAAAGTCACAGCAGTTCAAACTGTGCATTTTTTGAAAAGTAAAAACTTTGCTATAAGAGCAATTTCTCGATGATTTATTCTAAAAATATGTAAAAATATTAATATTTATAAATGCATTTCTCAAAATATTAGTCAAATTTGTTTTATCCTTTTACTAAAATGCACAGTTATTTTTGTTTATCACAGCCTTTTAGCTTTAAACTAAAGGATGTGTGTTTGTAAGAATAATATTTATAAGAACTACGTATTAGCAACAGATCGATAGATTTTCGACGATGAAATAAATATGCAACAATATGATGAAAAACTCCAAAACCTATATTTATTTTTATATTATGAAATTTGTTATTTTAATGAGAATTGATTGAATTCATGGTATTTTTGATACTTTTATTAATCCATCAGATCTATCACTAATCGAAAAACGAAACGATGAACGAAAAGTATCGCTTTTTATTATTAAAAACGTTTTAAATTTTTTAATCGATGACCAGCTTTCTGAAGCTGCCCTCGACGCCGAAGAGATCATCAGCAGTCTTTGGTGCTCCTGGTCTCAAAGCCTCATTGGCTTTGGAGGCTTCCTGCTCCTTGAACCATGGTCCGTACTCGTTCATCTTTTGGCGCCAAGATTCTAATAAAATGATAAAAATATTGTTTATTCATTTTTGCACTACTGCCTATCACTTTATTGCAACTGCAGATACTTAAAAGCAAAATCCCTGAACCTATAGTACAAAACATTCGCCCAGTCCTAGCTATATTGTCTTGGGCAAATTTGTTGTATGATATAATTTTCTAAATAATTCAATTTAAACTTCATAAGAAGTTGGACAAGATCATACCTATTGATCATTACTATACGCCTGCCTATTATTAAGAAATATAAAGTATAATTATAAAATTACCATGGATATCCTTCAAAGATCCAGCTTTACCGCCATATTCTTCTGGCAGCATTTCTTGTGGAATGAATTTGTACAAACTTTGAAGACCTTCTTCTCCATTGCCATGGAAGTGAATACGTTGACGAATTTTTTCCTTGAGGAAGGGTTTAACGAAATTGACAATGGTATCAACCAATGGAGATGTGTTGATGACATGGACTTCCTTCAGTTTTACTGGATAGGCTTCCTAAAACACATATAAAATAAATTAATAACTTCAACGCAAATAAAGCAAATTACAAAATCTTCTATCCAATTTACCTGTACGCAAACCAGAAACTTCTTGACTAATCCAGGTGTGAATTTGGCAAAGTGTCCAGGTGTGGCTACGCTGGCGTCTAAAACGTAGACATCACCAGCTACACCAGTCTGTTCCTCTTTAAGTCTGATATCTCCAATCATCAAAGCCAACTTCATGGCAGCGGATACGCTTGGGGTCATGATGTCTTTGTCCAAACCTCTCATCATTACTACTCTTCTTCCAGCTGGGGTCAGTCCTGGCAGTGGTGGCATGTTACTAGAAAAGAAAAAGGATTTATTTTGAAATATATGTTAAGCAACATTCTCAAGAAGTTCCAAAAAAATCTAATCAATCATGGTCAGACCAATCATGATTCAATCAATGGTCAGACTAATCATCAGATCAATCATGGTCAGAAAATCTAATCTCAGGTTGACAAGTCTCATGATACCTTGTGAGGTGGTAGGGTTGATGGTCAAGCAATATGAGATAATAAATGCTCATAAAAAGTGATTAATTAATGAGAATAAAGTTTTAAAAAAATATATATCGAATAGGTCCAAAAACAGGTCAAATAACGTTAAACAGATTTTTCTGAAATAATGTGCATATTATTTCAGCCATCTTCAATATTTATGAGACATATTTTTTTCTAAACTCTGTATGATTAAAATTTTTTCTCATTTCCAATATAATTTATTTACATGAATTCATCTCCACGTGAAATTTATTGCAATAATGACGCATGCAAAAAGACATCATCCGTCCTTGAAACCAACGTCTGAGATTTATTGGAATTAATCATATGCATTTTATCAATTTGCACTTTTTATGTATCAAGGTTCAGAAAACGGGAAATAAAGCCTTCTAAGTTTTTGCAATTGAATTAATCGGTAAATTGATCCAATGTTAATATTAATAATTGAGACTCACACAACATCCATAACTTCTTTAAGTTCTGGTCTGTTGACGTCACGATCAGCAAAGAATTCTGGTACGGCATTTCTCATGGTGTAGTACATGTCCAGTTTCCTCTTAACTTTCTCCAAACTGAATTTGCAACCGCGTAAGAAGGTCTTGATGCGCTGATCATCTAAAAAATAAGAGAAAAATATATATTAAAACAATTTTTTCTTGTACAAAGTCTACATCAACTAAAGTAATAATATTAGGGTGTAGAGCTCAAAGACATTTTAGTAAGTTTAGGTGAAGTCTCTAACCCGATTTCTGAGAAATTTAAGTGTGAGAGATGTTCCATTGCCTCCTACACCGCAGTACCGAATCACAAGAGCACGGAAGCACATACTCACATATCGTGTATGCAATACAATATGTGAGTATGTAATACTACTCTTTATAAAATATTTGCAACCTATGCAATTGTTGTAGAGAAAATTATCATAAGAAATATTCTAATGATTTCCATAGATTTTATAGGTATTTGAGTAAAAATAATTTAACAAAAAAAAAATACAAATGGGAATACAAACTTTGAAAATCGGAGTGCAACAACACAATAATATTTTAAGTTCTTTTGTGAAAAATAAAAATAAGTTTGTGTCATTTTCAAGTTGTTTGTTGAAATACCATAAACATAAAAATGCATTCTTGCATGTGTGTGTTTTAGATAAATATGCAGTCCAAATAACAAATGGCAATCGCGTTTTACCATTTAAATGTTAAACAAAACGTTTCAAAAATTTCCTTTATGAATGTTAAATTATTCGATATTTGACAACAAATTTTATAGCCGTTATTTTTGGATCATAGAGAATGGAATAAAATGATCGAGATAAAATTATTTGAATTATTATAATTATATATAATTACATCATTTAATTATATATTCGAATAATTATCAATGCTATTACACATAATTAATAATATTTAAAAATTGAAATAATCCGTTTATAGCGTTGATATTATGCATTTGCAATAAATATTAATATATAAATATTAGGGTGGTCCTTAATATGGACATTTTCGAATTTCTTTACTCCCAAGGGCTCAAATGGTTTCAAATTGATAAAAAACAATTTCTCTGAAACTAACAAAAGATCGTGGGTTTTATCAATTCAAAACTAACAAAATATTGAGTATATTAAACCATTGTGAATTCATAAATTTTAGGTCTGTCCAAATTGCATCTTGGATCGATGTGAATTTATATGTTAACTATCAAAGTAGTAAAAACGAAACAAAATAAAAGCGTACCAACGACTTTTATTCGTATTGTTTTGCTTTTTTTCAATTTTTTCACAAAATGTTATAGAATTATTTTGAGTTAAAAAGTTAGTACCAGGAACAGGTTAATCATCCGTCAATTAAAAAATCCCAAGTCTTTAACAATAAGATCTTGGATAAATACTAGAATCGATGCAAACTTGCACGTTATGTCAAATTCACTTTAAAAATGAATATTAAATTGTTTTCTGATGTCGAATATCAAATTGTTAGTAAATTATTTTTTTCTTACCCATATCCTTAGGCAAATGTGGTTGAAGCTTGAGCCATTCCTTGACGCTGGCCAAGTCCCTGTTGACTGCCTCCTCGTCATTGGGTTCGCGCAATTCTTCGCGGATCTTCACGCACATATCTCCGGCTGGTTGAACTAAAGTCATTCTGGAAAAGAAAAAATATAGATATTAAATAATTATAAAAATAAACAATAACAAAAAATAGCCATAACTAATTATTTTTTTGTACATTTTCTTCAATTACAATCTGTCACACTTTGGACATTCAGTAATTGTTTTGACTTTTTATTATATGGATGGATGGCAACCCAGTAGTTGTCTAATCCAATTATGACTAATGAACTATCCTCGAAGTATTTACTGACTAAAATTAAATTTGATAACTAAATTGAAAAGTTTTTAATAAAAAATGAAGTCATTGTGGATCGTTCTTAGACACCATTAAAGGTCGGATATATATAAACTATGCTATATATAGTTTTTTTTATAATATATGATTTTTTTCATGATATATGGTTTTTAATGTTGAAATTTTTCTATAATTTACAATATCAAATAGCTTGTAAGTAATTGATCACAACATCTTATAGAACCCTTAAGTTCTGTCACTGCTCAAGAAAAAAAAAAAACAATACCATTCATTAAAAATAAATTGCAATGCATTATAATATACTATAATGATTGAATTAATATTAATTAGGTATGTGTGCAATCACTATTATGAAATTTTATATTTATTTATATTTTTGTAAAGTGTTTAATTAACAAAAATAAACTATGTGGTTCATTCGATGTTATTTGCAGTATTACTATCCAACTTAAAAAAAAAAACTCGATTACTTGATAATGAAAAAAATTACAAATGACAAAAAATTAATATTTTAGATTTTTTTTCTAATTAATTCACCAACAGTCTAATTTTAACAATTTCAACAGTCTAAATAGACAAGATTTTTTTCTATATAACTAGAAATCTCAAACAAAACATTGAAGACATTTAATTTTATTTAAATTTAATTTAATTAGAACGTAGGAATCTTGAAAATTACAAAAAGCAAAAAAAAATATTCGCTTATCATTTATCAGCAATTACTAAAATTTCATTTCATCATTCTATTTATAAATTTCTCTACATTAGGTATATATAATTAATACACTAAATATAAATATTGAATTATTTAAAATTTCCAGCACAATTAATTACAAGAAACTTTTGCTCCAGTGCACGCGTTCTGTGAGTCACTCGTTCTTTAATAATAATTAATCATAAATAGGAAACATACCAGACTCGAAAATTTACACAAAAAACTTATGATTACATTTTTACGATGTTACAAATATCTATGTGAATCATTAAATGAAATAACGAGTACCGGAAAAAAATCGATTACAAAATTTGGCAATAACAAAATTAGTGTAAAAACCCGCGTAGTCGTTCGCGTGACTAATCCTATAGAAACTTATGATAGACGAACAGTCTATGATAATTATTATTGGCTTTCATTATGATTATTGAGTTTTTTGTGTTTGCATTATTTTATTTTGCTTCTGTTGAAATCGTGCTGGTCGGTAATCACAGCTATTATACTCGTATATGCTGAATGTAAGAGATACAATCAAATTTTCTATTTAGCCAGTAATTGTAGAAGTCTTATATAAAAATATTGTAAAGAATAGAACATGATTTATAATTACTCTGCAAGATGTAAAAAACGATGCTTTTGTAGGTTGAGAAATTTCAAGATGTCTACACACATTGTTTGTGCTGATTAGGAAATGTTATTAATTTTTTTAAGTTTTGTTACATGTGTAAATTCACTAAAATTAGATGTTTTTGTTTTATATGTTTAGGAAATATCTGGCAAAAAATATATGTTAAAGTATAAATCTGTATTAAAATCTCTGATCGTTTTTTTACAAATTCGAAGATGTCATGAGACGTATCTTATTAACTTTCCGTAGGGTAAGTTATAGTGATCGCAAAAAAATCAAAAATAAATTTTTTTATATATATTTACGTTTTAAAGGTTTCTGAACATTTTGGCATACCTTAAAAAAATGAATGTATGTGTTTTTGTCTGTGTATGTGTGTGTGCCTGTGTGTGTATGAATGCGCGGATACAATTTTTCGTCGACGATTTCGAGAACACGGATCAACCAATTTGAATGATAAAAAAAACATTCGATTGATTCTATTAATAAGGAGACGTGCTGATTAGATTTTGGCAAAGGCAAGTTCAGCCGTTCCGAAGATACGGTGCAAAAAGTGCTCAAAATAATAATTAAATTTTTGAGAGAACCGAGCATCCGATTTGAAAACGGATTATTTCAGAAATAATCCGAATTCAGAAAACGTTTTATTTGTTTAAACAAAATGAAGAACTGAGTTGATTTTTGGGAAGGCAGGTCTAGCGGTTTCGAAGATCCAATAAAAAAGTGAAAAAAGACAATGCCATTTGGCGGACAAAAATGATCATTAGACATATGCACATCAAATTTTCACATATTTTATAGATATTTTAATAATAAAAACAAATTTTGTTTATTTTTCTAGGGGTTCGTACCAATATTTATCAGTTATACAGCGACGCGGCGCTCACGCGCTTCTATATTTTGTTTCTACTAATTTTCCAAAGTATAAGAACAATCTAATTTTTCAAAAATGTCATTTTTTTTTTCAAAAATTTAAATAAACTCAAAAATCGATTTTTTCAGAGTTCTAAAAAATATTGAATGTTTTTTTTTTTAATTTTAGTTTTTGGTACGGGAAGTTCCAGCCATTTGCCTTAAGACACAATGCCATGCACGACTAGTTTGTTTTTCTACTAAAAATCGAACTTTGCGCTTATGGCCAACATGTGTTGCCACATCACTCCCCGTTCAGTAGTTGGTCACCAATGTTGCAAAAGAATTTATCAAAAATAAATATATCATAAAAGTATAAATCTGTATTAAAATTCCCGATCGTTTTTACAAATTCGAAAATGCCACAGCACGTCTCTTATTTTTTTTTGTTTTTCTACTTAAAATCTAACTCTGCTTTTATGGCCAACTTGTGTTGCCACACATAAATAAATGAATAAAAAATAGTTATGTATTATCAAAAACATTTTTACGAGTTCTGTGAGTTTTTGCTATCGTAGATCCTAATCAAGTATTTTTCTGCAGAGGGCAACCCAGCGGTCAACCACTTATATATGTTGCAGCAAAACCCAAAGAAGCAAATTTCAATTGAGATTATATTTAAGATCTATAACACCTCAAGTGATGATTTGATATCATACCGCTTGATATCAAGCTGGCCAAGGTTGGGTCGAACTCGGGACTATTTTGAGCTATCTTTAAGACGTCTTTTATATATATTTTTTTTTAAATTTTTAGACCTAAGATAAACGAGGCTGTCACTGCTAATGTTTTGTTTTTTATTATTTCTCTAGATACAATAATAATCGGTCTTCATATAACAAAAACATTCAGCAATTATTATGACTCATGTAGAAAGTTAGAACAAAAATAAAGGTTACCCAGTGGTAAACTTTTTTGTCGATTGAAAGAGATATTCGTAAAAATAAACGACGTTATAGAAGTAATTGCTAAGTAACAATAAACCAAAAACTTCTATTTATTTATTTTTCTAATTACGTATGACTTTTGTCTAAGATATTTCTCATCTTATCAAAGATGCGTCATTTTCTCACAAATCTACCTCTTCTAGGTCAATTGGACCTGTTGTGTAAATATTTTTGAAATTTCCCGTAAACAAAAACGCATATGATATAAAATAATCTGAATGTTTCACAAGCTAAATTTCTAATTTACAGACTTGAGCAAGAAGCAAAAGCCCACTTTTGTATAATAGTCATGGATGATGGACCTCGCGCGTGATTTTATTGTCCGTGGAGCTGGCTCTCTTCTGATAGAAGGAAAGCTGATGGTCTTAAATGATTCAAACTAATAATAATATTTTTTTACAAATAATAATAATATTTTTTTAAGAAAGTTATATGATAACTATAGATTTGACTATAAAAATCAACTCTTAAAACGGTCGATAAGATCACAAAAATTATATAGCATATAAGTACAATTACCAGTAAAAGTTTTGTATCCATGAGTGTTTAGGAAAAACGTCTCTAACTATTAGTTTCAACGTATAACGTTATTTGAAATCTTATATTACTGATATGTTTAAATTGCATATACAATACGTCACTAACAACCCTGATATCAAGTAATAGCGATATCAATTTCCACTTTGGATATCTTAAATTGGATGGATTGGATCTTAAATTTGTTTCCAAATAAAAATAGTCAATCCCGGACATTACTACATTAAATTATATAAAATGTTCGCCCTATTAGATAAATCCTAATAAAATCCAAAGTAATCAAAATATGGATGAATCAGCAGTTGAGTTACCATCTAAAAATACGACGCAAGGAAAAGTTTCAGCCCAAAATCTTAAAGGAAGCAAGATTCTGATAGTTCTTAAAATATGATAAAGAAAATACAATTTCAATAACGGATAAAAAGAAGATTAAAAAATCACAATAAATATTTTTAAACAAAAATTTAACATTAATAAAGCTTTTTCACTGCTCTGGCTTTGACGTTCAAATCTCAAAAAATACCTCAAAGCCGAATGACAGGATTTTAAAAAAATTGTAGTGCAAATTTGATAATATGTGTGACCAATTTACGATTGATAAATATTTAATTTAGCACTAAAATTATTATAAGAATTGGCAATACTAAGCAAATATTTTTAAGTATGATAATTTTAGAAAGGGCTATTGATAAATGATCCTTAAAAGAAGATTGTTTCGAACATGTTTCATTAATAATTTGAAAAGAAAATATGTAGATATGTAAACTAAACGTATGAAATTACTTTACAATATTTATTGATTAAATAACTTTCAAATTTTATCCAAAATTCAAATAATTGTCCTGCACAGAGATGAAGAGCCATAGCGCTTAAAATCTTCTGAAAAGATTTTCTTCAAAGCAAAATGTTGACTAAGAAATTACTATTAGGTTTCGAATAATTTACAAAATTAAGAATATTTTTCTTTGCTTTTATATTTATTTATATTTGTAAAAAAAAATAAGTTTCAATGAAATTTAAAGTACTGATCACAATG